AGCTCAAAAGAGAGTTCTTTTTTTTTAATGTGAAAGTGGATTAGCAGCAGATCATGATTCAAATAGAATTGATTCTTAGTCTTGCTTACCCTTCTTACAGCTGCTTGCCAAGATTCTAATGCCTGCTTTTACTGCCCATCCTTACTTTCCATTTTCTAATCCAGCAGCACTTGTTGGATTTTTGCAAAATTCAGACTAGTTTGTCACATGATTGAGAAATAGCAAATAAGCACTGTAAACATTTAAACAAATAGAATTGTTTGCATAATTCCAGGACTGGAAATTAGGAGCTCCCACGTAATAAGGGGTGCAAGGGAGTAAATGTTCCAGTTTGATTAGTAGGAATGAAATAATTGGTTTACTGTTAAATATATTAGAGAGAAAGCCTGATAGAATTAGCAGTTATTAGAATTGGGGAATGTTTAACGTGTCTGTTTACCCTTTAGGCCTTTGTCTTGGCACTAAAGCTGCTCACTGAGCCACTTGCCATACTTGCTCCAAGTTGCTTTCCTGCTGCGTATACCTTTTGTGTGTTTAGTGTGGAACAGCATAATAGCCTTCAGAATAGCTTACTTTTGTTGGATGTTTGGAACATTCTTGGTTAAACTGAAGCACGCAGTTGTGTGCTAATATTAAACAGTGTCTTTCAGCTAATATACAGGACAACACTGAAGAGTTACCTTACGTTCAGTGTCTATATTACAGTTTGGATTTGGCTCAAAAATACATTGATTTATCATCTGCTGACAGAGCTCTTGTAGTTGGCACAATATGTGGTCTGCAGGCTGCAAATAGACTTGAGCTTTCAGGCAACTGTCTTGTTTTCCATTAATACAGAGAAACTGGAGCCTCTTGGTGCCCCCTAGTTGCAGTCTTGTTCATATTATATTGCTTACCTTGCTTTTTCTGCCACCTGTGCTTTTGAAGAAGCAAATTTGTGACTGAAGATCATTCTTGAACAAGTAAATTTGCAACTGAAGAACATTGTAAGTAAGAAAGTAACATCAGGATTCGTTTCTTGGACCATAGCTTGCACATAATTAGTTCTGAAGAATAATTGATATGGAATAGAAATAGAAGGGCTTTAAAACAAGCTAATTTATTCTAGTATACAAATGATATCTGTGTGAAGTGATACTATGATGACGTTGATAACAGAGGAATAAAAATCTAGTCCTTTACAGTCCAGTGAATCTGTCTGTCTGTCTGTCTAATTTTTTCCCATTAGAAGCCCAAGGCTGGGTAAATAGCATTCCTTTCCTCCATTTTTTTCCCCACAACAACAATCATATTGTACACAGAAATAATTTGAGCTTCCATGACTGAGAGTGAATGTCAGTCTTGGTCTCCAGTCCAGTACCTTAAAGACTACCCAGCACTGTTTACCTTTGTTCATGCTGACCATTGTGCATGCTTAAGTAGGATTTTTAAAGACTTCTGCTTTTGAAAATTTCTTCTTGTTGCAAGTGGTTGGATTCATGGCATGGCATTCTTTTAGTTCTGTGGGCCCCGTGCCTAATTATATAGCTTTTGGGGTCCTAAATTCTTTTTTCAGGCTAGTGAGAGCCTGCTAAGAGCTGCTTTTGAAACAAAAGAGATCTGGGGGAAAAAAAGGAATTAACTTCTTGCCAGATATTTGGCCTTTACTCAAGCAGATGGATTTATTTTAAATCCTTCAAGCAAATGAAAATATGCCTGATGGGAAAAATGCAATTAAGGAATAATGGGTTGTTCTATCTTTCAAGTCTAACAATAGTAGGCATTATATCAGCAAAGTTTGTAGTGAAGGTAATAATAGAACTTCAGTGGTATTGCTTCATAGATGGAAACTCTGGTGTTCTTACAGTAAGGTCCTGTTTTCTGAAGTTCTGGGTATGTCAAATATTGCACTGTTTGGTTCAACTATCTGGAAGTAGATGAGCTTAATTCATCAAGGAAGAGTAGAAAAAGATGCTAGATTACATGTAGAATGCTCCCCCTTATTCTTGGCTGCCACGGTCCTTTCAAAGGTTAATGTACAACTGGTATGTTTTCCTGTAGTTCTGCCAAACATGATGAGACCTAATTTGAAGCACTGTAACAGAACAAGAATACTGGTTTGTTGTACGGCAGGAACAGTTGGCAGAATAAATATTCTGTAATAATTGCCTTCTGAGTTCTTAACTGAAGTAGGCAAGTTGTAGGAAGTCCTTTCTTACACTAGTCTTAAACGGAGTAGTTATTGTCCCACAGAAGCTTACAGATACTGGCTTGGCTCACTAATAACATTCCTTGTGTTTGTCACCAATCCTCTTTTCTCTTGTGTCCTCAGTCATGCATAGTGGACTTTGGAAAAAGGCAGGATCATCTTTCATTTATGCAGGGTTTTAAGAAGATAAGACTAAAAGCCAGCCCTGCTGCCAGAGGAGATTCCTGCAGTTTGTTTCTTGCTTGGAAACCAAAATGGAAATGCCATATACAAGCATAGAATTGAGTGTACTCATCCTGAGGAGCCGGTGAATGTATTTGTGGATCCTTGTTGCTCATTCGATGGTTCATGATCCATGTAGTGACCAGAGTAGCACTGAGATTTTCAGGAATCTCTGTATATTCTCTAAAGGAATATAATGGTATAAAGTGGACCTAGGACAAAATGTTGAAGTGTGAAATGTTTTTTATGTGGGTTTTCTAACATTCATATTTAGTTGAAACTATTTTCTGAGGCGACTTATAGTGGGATAGTTGTGGTACTAATCTGATCTGTCAAGTGGAGAAATGGATTTTTAGTTTTAGATTTTTTATCCCGCCTTATTTTTATAAATAACTCAAGGCATCGAACATATCTAATACTCCTTCCTCCTCCTATTTCCCCACAACAACAAGCCTGTGAGGTGAGTTGGGCTGAGAGAGAGGGACTGGCCCAAAGTCACCCAGCAGCTTTCATGCCTAAAGCGGGACTTGAACTCACCGTCTCCTGCTTTCTAGCCTGGTGCCTTCACAGCTAGACCAAACTGGCTCTCATTTTGTGAGAAATGTTGTATTCTTCCCCTCAGTCTTGTTTTCCACATGATACAACGTTTTAACTTGAAGTAGTGCTATTCAGAATATCACAGACCTTTTTCAAAAGAAAATTCAGTCATTAATTTAGTATTAAATCTCCCATCAGTGAGAGGGCCCAGGAGGAGGGCCTTCTCTGCCGTTGCCTCCGCCCTTTGGAATATTCTCTCCCCAGAGGTGTGGCGGGCCCCTACCCTCCCAGCTTTCCAGAGGGGATTAAAGACCTGGCTCTGCCAGCTTGCATGGGGCGACAGGAGCTCTGATCGTCCCTGGGGTAATTAGCGGCCTGATGATGCTCCCTGAGCTATTTGCCAATTCTCCATCATTCTTGGAATGTATTTATTATTAAGATTGTTTTTATGTTGTATTTTAATTGATTTTATCTCTTCTGTAAACTGCCCAGAGTTGCTTTCAACGAGATGGGTGGTGACAAATTTGATATATAAATAAAAAATATAAATAAATAAATTTGAGGATCCAAGTTTCAGAATGATTTAAATTGCACAAAGACCACCAAGAATGGGCAATTCTGTGCTTGTACAGGAACATTTTAGATAATATTCTAAGGTAGCACATGAAACCATTTCTCAGGTCCAAATGGTGCGTCATCAGTGGTGTGGTTTTTATGTGTTTTTTTTTTTTTTTTACTATGTGTGGCTTAAAACACATGTTAAATCTCCCAGAGACTTAACTCTGCCAAGCCATCCAAACTGAAAAATAGGTTGAACATTTCTGTGCCTTGTTGTGCTGTTGTGTCATAGGACCTGTGGCCCTGAAGGAAATAAGGCAAAGTGTTTCTCCCAGGAAAAAAAAATTCTGGGTCCTGTGCTAGTTTGGCCAAGGAGTGATAGTTTCATTTTTCTCCCTAAGGAGTGTAATTTTTCACCTTCTACAACATATGTGAGGTAGAGGGAGAGTGTCTTCGCACTGAGCACTCCCGCAGACATTGCTGATTGCTGTTTGGTGGCTGAGGTTATTTCTCTGTCCTCTGTCAGTGTGTAGGGCACCATTTTACCTTTTTACTTCCATGCACTGAAGTTTCAGTAGAGAGTATGCCACTTTGTACAAGGATTCATTTAATGATATTGTGTGGAGAAATTAAGTAAAGCTAAACTGAATGCTCATTGTTCATTTTGATTTGAACCACAAAATAAGGCTTTGCTTCTGAGTCCAACTCAAGAAAACTGCTGGCATTTCTAATTGGGAGGGGACGAAAGTCATCCATGCATATGCAAATTGTTTGGGTTTTAGCAGAGAATGTGGGAAAGTTTAAACAGAGTTAGTGATGGTTGTTATGTTAATTTACTGGCTACTTTTTTTAAACTGAGAATAGGACAGATTGATTAAATAAATTAAAATGGTCCTGTATGATCATGTTAATTATCTAATTAAGTAAAGTTCATTAAAATAGTTAAAACATTATACTGTATACATAAATGTAAAAAAAAAAAAAGAATGTTCTAAGTAATTGTCTACTTAGATGGGATCAAAAATAATAATACACATTACCTGAATCAGATTTTTTTCTTGAACAAGAAGTTGGTTGTAGATTGGTACACATATTGAGGGAACTTTTCATGAAAACTGGATTGTATAAAACAGAACATGATAGAAAGCGGAACAGAGTTCTTTGCAATGTTTCCCATAAGCTTTCTTTCATTTTTCTGGCACAAAGCATTGTTAGCTCTGTGATGTTGGGGAGTAAGTATATAAATATATAAAGGGTTGAATCCAAAGGTATTCAGCAATGCTTCTAACTGTCAGACAGCATTTTTTGCTTTTATTTGTGATGCAAAAGTATGTCTCTTTTTTCTTTTGTAGGCTTAAAATATGCACGTCTCTTAACCAGTCTGGTTCTACATATGGGAGACTAATGACCTCTGACATTATTGCCATTGTTTATGTTTTGCTATTGAATAATAGCGAGCCTTTCGTCTGGATCATAAACTCCCGTATTTCTCCTTGCAGAATCCGTTTATGATCTCCTCCCTAAGGAGCTGCAGCTGCCACCTTCCAGAGAACTCTCGGCAGCATCCATGAGTCAAACCAGTGGTGGCGAGGCGGGTTCGCCCCCCCCGGGTGTGGTTGCTGCTGGTAAGTACCTCTTCGGGTTAGATTAAGATTTTAATGCATACTAATATTGTTGGCAACATGAGCAGTGCTGGAAAAGTTTGCAGATGTAAAAAAAATACAAGAAAGCAACACCGGGGATGCTGTTGCCCACTCCATCTTCTGCTCCAGTTCTTTACTTCCATTTTTTAATGTGGTAGTTGCTAAATTATAATTGAGACGGAGTGTTAAATGCACCTCAAAACACATTTTGTTTTGTCAGAGCAGAAAATAAAATTAGTAATTGAGTTTTCTAGTCCTGTGATTTCTCTTATGACAAATTTCATTTTTTCCTAGCTATGATTAAACCATATTCCTTATAATTTGAACATTTAGTCACTTGGTATATGAAGGGACATCAGAGTTTAAAATTACCATAAATTAAAATAAACTTAGAAATAATTGGAATGAGTCTCCTACTTAATGTAGGCTTTAAAAAGTTCTATGAGTTTTTTCTCCTGTTTTTGTTTTTATTTTATATTACATGAGTGCCTTTTGGGGGGAGAGTTACTGGGGTAAGCCTATCTTGAACAGTTTTTATCTTGGGATCATGTATATTTGGAGCAGACTTTTTTCATAAATAGTTATATTCCAGGATTCTCTCCATAAAGTTATTGTCAGGGTTTGGCAACCGGCTGCTTGATTTTTGAAAGTATAGGGCTCGACCCAGGGGTAAAAACTTTACAGCACTGCTCACTGTTAATGTATTTGAAGACTTTTTCTAATGAAATCTGTGGATTTAAGTGTAGATTAGGAAGATTAGTCATTAAATTCAGAGTATTTCAGTTAAAAAGCCCTGAAGCAGACTTTCCTTTGACATATAAAGCTAATCCAGTTAAAGAGAACAACAACTGTAAGAACTTTTAAAAATGCTAGCATTTTAAACCCACAGATCTTTAATATTTTTCATGTTTGAGATCATTTTCAAACATTTGAAAAATTTGCTTAGGAGAACTAATTGTCTGTTACTTGTCAGCTTTGGTTGTCTGAGTCAATCCACTTCCTTTCAAAAACTGAACATGTGAGTTCATGCTAAATAAAACTAGCGGATAGTCTGCAGTATAGATCCCCTTGCATTACTGCACACATTGGGCAACAAGTTCTTTCCAAGCACAGATGTAGTATTAGGGATAATAATAGTATAGTATAGGTGTGTATATAATACTATATTATTTTACTTAGAAGGATTTTTCAGTACTGCTTTTCAAGTAGTTGAAAAACAAGCAACATTCTTCAGAATAATATTGGTTAAATTGTTTGACTAAGTGGTGGCTTACATTTAATGCCTTTTGGCCTGCTTTTTTTAGAAAGATAATATATTTATATGCCGGGGCTAAAGATAGGAAGTTTAATTCCAAATGTTGACTATATAGAAAATTTAACTTGCCAGCAAGGGTGGCTTAAAAATTTCAACCTTGCCATGCAATGAAGAATGAGTACAGATGATTAAAGATGAAAATGTGAGAACAAGAGAAATCACCTAGGATGCATACCATGATATTAAAAAAAAAAAAAAAGTGGTTTGTAATTCTCCCAGCTTCAATCATTTAAAAGACTTAGAATAAACTCTGTCTTGTGTGTGGTAGGAGCAGGACCAATGAAGCATATCTCTAAGCATTCAACTGACATTTGAATACCGATAAAGAGAAGAAGGCTGCCAGGGAAACAGGCCCTGTATCCAAGAGGGGACATATGCAGAATTCTGGAAATACTCTTTAAAGTTCATACTTGCCACTTTAAGGATTGATGGTGGATGAGGCATCCCTTCCTTATCCTTCTGCCATTTGGAATATGGTGTTTAGATAGCCCATAGCCCATTTCGGATGTGATATAAACTGAAATACCAGTTGAAACTGTAGATCAGGCCATTTGGAAGGCTCTGCATGTTCTGAAAGAAAAACAAATTGCAGTCCCTTACCTGTTGTAGCTGCTATTTATTCAGATATTAGAGTTTTAAATAGTAATAGCAGGAATTCATATTTGTCACTTTAGCTAACCCCTTATCAAAATTCGCTGAAAAGAACCTAAATAACAACTAAGAGCTTCTGTATTTTGGTTACATACAGAGTCCCCCGTCCTGAATCAGTTGGCCTTATTGGTGCCATTGACAGATTGAGGACTGATGAAAACTATTTTCCTTATTTAAGACTTGACTTAATTTGTTCTCTGCTTCCTTAGACACAAGGTGACACAGTATCTGGCTGCAAATCAGATTGCCCCAGGTCTCTCTTTCATTGCTTTGATCTGAGGTTCTGGGACTCATAAACAGGTTACATAAAGATCTGCAGCAGTAAACTTCAGATTTCTGGAGGAACAGGATTGGCTGAGCTCAGGCATGAGGGCCTGCAAGAACAGACTGCTAGTTCTTCTATTGTTGATTGATTTTTAATTTGCAAATCCATCTTATCCAGTTTAAAACTGAGACATGGTAATTAATCTGTCAAGAGCACATTTGATTATTTTAGCATAAGAGGTGTTTTCGTGTTCATCATTCCAGATGTAAGGTGGTTCCTTTATAAATGATCAACTATTAATTGACAGTTGTCTTTATATGTTAAGCTGGAAAGAGATGGCTCTGTCTCAAAGCCAGAGAGCCATCGATAACAATAAAGAAATATACATTGATATTGGATGCACTACACAATATTGTGTAACTAACTGGGACCAGTGCGAAACTAGAGAATGATCCCTACTCTCCATCTCTGAGAAACTAAAGGAGGAGAGAAATAACCCTTGTTCATTTATGCTTAAAAGGCACAAGGAAATGCTTGGATATCATCTGATGACTGCCACTACTGCCCTAACCCAGTTCTTCTCTTTTCCTTTTGCCAGTGTGTGAGCACAAGTGGTTCCCACACACCAACCAAAAGGAACATTTTAAAAGATGGTAGGGTTTTGTTCTTGCCTGCCTGCTCTGGAGCCCAGCTTGTTGGAAATGTACGAAGAACTGGTGTACCAGTTCAGCTTCTAGTATGTATAAAAGTTAAATAATGAACCTAAATAAATCTGTACCAGCTAATCAAAATCTATAAAAGAAGCATAAAATATAATAATCCTTGGATAACCTGAAAAAAACTCATTCTTGAGTCCATAAATAGATGACCAATAGATGACTGGGGTATTCCTTAAAGAAAGGGAAGAGCCATAACTGAGGCTTGGAGATGTGGGATGGGCTCCCTAATAGCCTCCTCTAAAATTGTAAAAGGAATAGCAGTACCACAAAAACTGGCTTTTTAGTGCTGTATATTAAAATGTAGATCCCTTTGAGTTAATTTTCACTCAGGATGATTTCATGGACAGATCCAAATAGTTTTCTTGACATGAATACGCAAGTGATTGCCGCCATCTTGGATTTTTTTAACTTCTCAATGTAGCTTACAACTCTAGTATTTCCTGGGCATCCCACATCCAAATATTAACCAGGCCTAACTTTGCTTATCTTCGAGCTCAGATAGTCAGAGTAGAGCCATTGAAATCAGAATGTCAAGTTGATCATTGTTTCCTTCGGTCCCATGGATTTTAGTAAACACTAAACAAGCCTAAGCCAGGATCCAACAAGAAGTATTCTGCTTCTTCTTGGCATAGGCCCGATTGGCACGTCTCTGACAAGAAGTATGCAAGTATAACTGCATTTTTTTTAATGTTCAGTGTTTAAAAAATTACTTATAAAACAAAGCATATTACATTATCTGTTTATCTCCATCTGCCCGAAGTTGCTGGGAATTGGGCTGTGTACAAATTTAATAATAAGTAAATAACTAGGCTGAAATTTATTCTTTCCATTGAAGCCAAATTATACCCCAGATGAGACTAGCGAAGCTTTGCATTCTAATGGTGCTTCCAAAATTGGCAACATTCTTAAGTATGGTTTGAAAGAGAAGAGGATTAAGCACAAGTTCCTCTAAGGAGTGATTTAGTTTGTGTTGGAAACAACAGCTGATGATGGACAGAGATGTAAGAACTGACTGGTAGCTTATTCTCTCAAATGTACACTGACAAAATCAGCTGCCCACGGCTCATAATGACATGCAGGTGTCCTCCCAGAGAAGTTTAGGAAAGGTCAATGATCAGTTGTCTGAATCAAGGTTAGGGTTTTTCTCTCATCAGGTATGATTTCCCTGATTTCCCTGAGCTCCTGAATTAAACATTTTTGTCGGTATAGGAGCTGTTATTTGGAGAGATTCGTTAGCTATCAGGCTGTATTGGACTGAGTAATAGTTGCAGTGTTTTGGTAAGGCTTACCCTAAGCATGCTAAGGATATAGTTGCCTTTACAAACCTCAGAAAATGGTGGCTGCAGGGTTTCTGTCCCTGATGTAAAATGAATTGCACTAGGAATAGCACTTTGGAAGGCGTGGCCTGAGGAACAGCTGTTTGCATCTCCTCAGCAAGGCATAATGGCAGTGCCCCATCAAGAGGGAAGTAGGCCAAGCAGGGATGTGAGCGAGGGTCCTGAATACTAGTCTGCTGGTTGACTGCATCTAATTACCATTTTTGATTGTCAGACTTCCTAGTCTGAATTGATGAACATGAACATCCAGTTAAGACTGCAGGTAAGAAATAACAACTTGTGCATCTGTCAGTACAAATATTAAGTTATTCTGTATGTCAAAGCAGATTGGATTCTGGTTTGATTTTTTAAATACTGTTTTGGCATGTGAATATAATGGGAAATTTTAAACTATTTGGGCTGTAATATAAGTGACCAATCTATTTTGAATCTGCCGTGAATGTTTAAAGTAAATGGGGTTGCTTTTTGATATTGCTGGGATGCTAGTTGTTTTCTCTATTAATACACTTAACTTGCATTCTAGCTTCGCCATTCAGAGACAGGCATCGTGTGGTGGGTTGTGTGCTATCAATAGTGAAGACAAATAGTACCAGAGACCCTTAACCCATCCAATCTCACCCAGGGTATAGGTCGGTCTCGTTTCAGACTTCTTCATAAGTCTCTCTCCTTTCCTTTTTGTTTTGTTTTATAAATAGTGGATTGTCTTAAGTTAACCTCTTATAAAGTTTTTGACTTTATATCAGTAAATGAAGCTGGAGAAAATTAGTAAGCCAAAGTTGGCATTAAGGTATTGAAGCAGGTTTGCAGCCACTTTGTTTATTACTTTAACAACACAGGGCCCAGTATCCCTCTGTCTTTACTTCAGAACTCCTAACTTTTTGTTCACTGACTCTGGAAAGCCAACTCACCTAGTAATTTGGGAAGGATTGTAGCCATCAAAAAGAAATAAATCAAGATGGCTGCATGTTACTTGTATAGGGGATTGCCTTTGGGATGAATCTGCCCTAACCGCCGTTTTAGGGGATGCTCACTTCTTCTCTTCTGTCTCCTGAACAGCAAAGAGTATGTGGCCAATGCGCGCTGTGCTTCATTCATTGGCTGCTTGCGCACAGAGTGGTTTACATGGAGATGGCCAGAAGTCAGAAGGACGCCCGAGGCATTGGGCCTTACCATCTCCTGTTTCATACTTTGGGAAAATGCAGTTACTTTCTTATTGCTAGGCCTGTGCTTAGCATCTTGAAAAATCTTGGGCCTCTGAAGGCCTCCCTGACTCGGTGCCCTGAACTCTCTCAGAGAATGAAATGCTGATGCAATAAACAAATGCTTTAAGCTTTGCCTAAAGGTAGCAAATCTCTTTGTGCCTAGCAAAAAGCCCACGAAAGGCAGAAGATTTTATAGATGTAAGTCTTCCAAGAGGGAAGAAGGCTATTCAAACTTTATCTAGTAACTTGAGCAGCAGTTGCATATTTAATTAGGCCAGCTTCTCTGCTCCTGGTTCTTGTCCAACCGAAAGGCGGAACTCTGTGATCTCAGCCTCGCTGCCATAAAAATACTGTGCACCGGCATTCAGATTGTAAACTCTTAGTGGCTGGAAGGCAATGAGTGTATGTGAGAACAAAGGTCAGTACTGTTGGGAAGCACAGAACAGGGATGGTTCTTTTTGTTTTGTACCGTGCTGTCTTGCTTGGCATTCTCCTCGCCTAGAGGCAGATTAATAATTTGAACAACGCTACTTAGATTGTAGAAGTTTACGGTGCCTTTTTAAACTACATGGTTTGTTTCAATTGCAGAATGGATTGTATGGGAGCCCAAAGATCTTTCCGTATGATAGTTGGAGGAGTTAACTATAAACAATTAACCATTTTATTGCCATGGCACTGAAGAGACTCATAAGAATATTTGGCACATGATTATAATTCTAAAATAGAGTTATGATGGCATTTAGCTTTGCTGATATGTAATCCTGCATTTCATAAAATGCAGTAAAATTAGCCAGTCCACTCCAGCGTCAGCTTTATTAACCATGCAGTTTTGGTCCTGGAGAGTAACTTCTGTCCTAGAAATAACTCGAAACATTGGAGTTCCCTGCATATGTCTGTATTTTAACAGTGTGAAGTGAGATGTCTGATGACCATGTTCCCAGATTAAGCCAATGCTTGGACATAATTCTTCATGAATGGCAGGTTCAAAGAGACATTTTGACTATCCTGATTTGGGATTAATTTGTTTTTGAAGCGGCTTCAGCATCGATTGATCAATCAAGGGTTTGCTATTGCATATTAAACCTTAATTCACACAACATTCTGTATTTCTGCTATGTAAAAAGTGAGCATTCATCCTTTGCTGAGGGGTATTCAGTCCCTAAAAATTGCAAACTTCATTGCAAACTTCAAAGATAGCAGTAGGATATCAGCCCTAGATTATGCTCTGCTCTGCTTAATCCCTATATATTATTATAATAACTGTGCTTAATTGAAGTAACTAAACTTGCTCATTTTTTTAAGCTTTAAAAGCCTCTGATTTATATCTTGGCATAGTTCATCACACAAAGTCAATCAAGCAGCTGTTTCATTTGCCCTGATTTACCCTAATTGCAACCTGAGGCACAAAGACTAACACGATTTTGCAAAAGCAAAGATGGATCTCTTGATTTCCTTTGTGTGTAAGCAAAATCATCTTTTCAAATTTTATGTAAAATAATATTTTGGAGGAGTTACTATTTATTTGTAACATGTGCTTCTTACTTTGTGCTAATATTATTGTATAATAAAATCTAACGATCATTATGTTTCTTGGAAAGATTTTTATTTTATGTGAATTCCCTTGATAGGGGATTAATTTGGCATAATAATGCCAGCGTGGATTGAGGTGATGGTGCTAATTCCATTTTAGCTAGGCAAATGGGTCCTTCTTTTCCAGAGGTGACAATCTTTATCTCACTTAACCTGCAGATAAAAATGAACGCTAAGCCAACAGACGGGTCCAAGACACCCAAGTCAGTCTTTGGACAGACGAGTTAGTCTTCCTACTTGCCTGTTGCTCTTGTGATTATCTTCCTCTTGCATAGAAATGCAGAGAACGTCACATTTTGCATGGGTTTTCCTACCTGTAGAAAATACATCTATGCCAGTGCAAGTTTGCAACATTCTTTCTGCGTGTATTTTGTAATTCATGCAGAATATCTAATCTAAGCAAGCCGTGTAGCTGAGTGAGTGAACATTTAAAATATATGTTTATTCTGTTTTAACAAAGATCACTTTAGAAATGTCAACTTACTCTAACTCAAAAGTGGCTGCAAATCAGCAATTATAGTCACTAAAACAAATTTTAAAATTTTCTAAGGAAAGCACTGCATTAATGCATGATATAAAAAGGATTTTACTTTTTTTTTTTTTTTTTACAATTAAAATGCAGTTCTGAATGACTGAATTTACCAATTTCAACCACTGCATTTGTTGAGGCACAAGCTGGAAAATGGAACTGGTATCAATCAGTGCTCTAGATTATTTCAGCAATTTTCTGGCAATGGAATGAGGAACCCTGAGGGAACACCTGGCAGATAAAGTTTCCTCTGAATTAAAGCTGAAGTAGAAGATTGATATGATTCACCCTTAATCTGTATTTCTTGAATTTTTGATGATTTGATACACTAATATTTTCACTTAGCCCAAAGTGACCACAAAGATAAATAGCTACGGTAATCATTTATTTATCTTCTGAATGATTTTTTTTAAAAAAAAGATTGTAATAGTTTTAAATCATCAGACTAAAAAGCTCAATATAACTCCATTTTAGGCCAGTGGCTCATAAAAAATATTTTTTGCACCTAACAAAAATATTGCCCAGCTTGTTTCCCCTCTAAAGAAGACATTGCTCTCAATTCAACACTTTTGTAGTTTAACTGACCATTGTGGGACAAGTTCATGTCCCAAGTCAAGCTCGATTTTGGTTCTTGATTTCACAGAGTTCTAGAGTTGTCTTCCAGAGCCAACCTAACTCTTGAGCAGTTAACTTGGTATCAGAGAAGCTTTTGAGACATGTAAGGTTAGTGAACAATCAGTCCTTTTATATGTATGAACTTGTCTTGCCTCTTCTGCGTTAAAGAGACGCCATTCCTCAGGCTGCTCAATCTTAGCCTGGTGCGCCTGCTAGAAGAGTGCGTAGCTTCTTTTTGCTGCCGCAGGGAGCTCTGCCTGCCGCCCGCCCTGCTAAGAGCGTTGGCTCTTTTGCCTGAGAGAGCTGTTCCTGCCTCTTCTACCTTCTTACTTTTCAGTGCTTGGGCACCCTCTGAGTTAAAACCTTAGCTGATTCCTTTTTTGGAACATTCATAAATGACAGTTGGTACCAGTTCCATTTGTCGCCGTTCAGTTATTTTATATTTCATTTCTCATTTGATAATTGATATCTGGAATAATCAGCAGCTCTCTTCTCATTTATTTTCTCATATTTTTATTCCAGGATTTGCCTCTGAAGCAGGGAGTGTCTGCATTAAAAATGACCTGTAGTTCTCTGCTTCATAGGTTAGAAACTTATTTTAATACTTTGTGGCTAAGCACAGTCCCAGGTTTTTAAACATTTCAGATGCTGATCAATTGGCAACAAATGTGGCCTAAAATGCACATTCCTGGGGGTTTCTGTCATTTTAGATAAAACGCCTTAAACTCAGAGTCCAGATGAGGCAATGAAAGCACCTTTGTTTGCTTGCAACCATTTTGTGACTTACAATTTTCTAAAAAGTCTGATTGCTACTACGCACAAAAATAAAAATACTATTTGGATATGTTTTCTGAGTACATCTGTGTTGCTTAAGCCTTATATTATTTGAAGTGCTTAAATTCCAAAACAAGCCAAATTCTAAAATGTTCATTTGGGGGAAGAATCAGTTCACCAAATCATGCTATTTCAAAGGGACTGCTATAGCCAGCACAGTTGGGATCAGGGACCCTGTACTGACTTCTGAATTGTACACCGCAGATGCTTCTTCAGCTCCCTCTTCCTCCGTGGGCGGTGCTTGCAGCTCCTTTACCACCTCTTCCAGCCCCACCATTTACTCTACCTCAGTCACTGACAGCAAAGCTATGCAAGTGGAGGGCTGCTCCTCAGCCATGGGGGTAAGTAACCGTGGGGTAAGTGACAAGCAGTTAACCAATAACACAGTCCAGCAGCAGCCACAGTCCACACCGAAGAGACACACAGTCCTGTACATCTCGCCACCACCAGAGGATTTGCTGGACAACAGCCGGATGTCCTGCCAGGATGAGGGGTGCGGATTGGAATCCGAGCAAAGCTGCAGTATGTGGATGGAAGATTCCCCCTCTAACTTCAGTAACATGAGCACCAGTTCCTACAATGATAACACTGAGGTGCCACGTAAATCTCGTAAGCGAAATCCAAAGCAGAGGCCGGGGATCAAACCACGAGATTGTGAAGAATCGACCATGGATATCTTTGATGCTGACAGTGCCAAAGCGCCTCATTATGTCATTTCTCAACTCAGCACGGACAGCAAAAGCAACTTGAAAGCAGGAAATGGGTTGGTATCTGCCTTTACGTTCTATCAACATATGTTAAAGCAAACAAACAAACAAACAAACTAAACATATAACTTGATTTTTCCCTAGAGTTCAGCTCATATTTTCACTGAGAAGGATGGGAGGACTGATACTTTGAATCACATTTGATGCATTCTTATGCTAAATGTTTTTGGCCATTTTAGCATTGAACCATTGAACAGGAACAGTTGTCAGCTTTTCCCTGTGGAACATGATTAGTGTATAGGAAGTTTTTCAGTAAGAAACAGGTTAAAAATATAGTCCCTAAAGTTGGGATCAGCTCCTGCATATCTTCCTCAACAGAGATATTTGTGGGGATTTAAGTCCACACTTCGCCTACTTCTGTTTCACACTCTGCATCAATTAAAGGCAGTTGATTTTGACCTTTTATATTCTTTCTAAAATGTTAAGATGATGAAACAAATTTGTGTTTGTGTCATCTCAGTTCTGTATTTGATCTTTCAGAAATAAATCTCTAATCCTGTTTTGCTCTGTGCTTCTCGGTTGTGTGTACGTGTATGTGTGTATGTTGCCTGCAGCCATGCTTGGGTGGTGGTTTCTCATCTCTTCCACTTCACACTGCTTGTTTAATTGCATTTCAGTTTAGAAACTCTGGTTTGCATCCAAAAATCCCACTTCATGAGTGGAAAATACATGTATGTATTATAGGAGGGAAGTTGCTGATTTTCTACCCAATGGCAGTCCCCACGTTCCTTTGGTATCCAGAGGATCCCAAAATCCTCAGGATTGCCCATGGGGCAATATGAGGCTGCATTTGCCTGAGAAATCGGCGACCCTCCATCCTGCTGCAATGTACTGCATTGCCTAAAAACATAAGCTACACTTGTAAAGAATTCTAGTTTTCCTGGGAACAAGCAGCACATGGCTTTGTTTGGTGCCTCATGTTGGCCAATAAACTTGGATAGTTCTGATTATAATTTATTACTTTGTGTGATCCAGAAATCTTGCTTGTTCAGTTCTTTGCAAGCCAGTGTTAGATGCTAAGGTCAAATCATGGCTTTTAGCTCTGAATTGTAACAAGATGGACAAGCCCAGGTTTGCATGTAACAACAGGCAAGCCACAGGTGGGGTGGCTTATTACCTGTGCCTGTGGTGGCAGGAGCAGGTGGGCAGTGGTGTGGTACACCGTTCCTGGTAAGCCAGAATTCCTTACAACTCTGGCTTACTGCATGTGAATGTGGTCACAAAGTATTTGCTACTCATGCAGTGAAATCTTTGACTTTCTTGCCCACTTATTTGTAGGTCTGTTCTTGTTTCTCATAGAAGAGTCTGGCTTATTTTGATACCTATTTATATTATCCTCGAGTTAGTGAAAATTGAACTATGGGGAAGAAGGATTTACCATGTAAACAAAAAGCCATCTTTCTTTGTCTTCTCTGTTGTTCCAGTTCCATACTTAAAATATCACCTGGAAGAGGTAGATCATAAGAAGCTCTCCAGAATGAGCTTTGCTGCTAAACAACTTTCCAGGATATGATTGGACAGGCCTTATTATACAACATGACCCATAGTCTTATATTACCTGTTCTCCCCACACAAAATTTATAAAAGCCTTACAAGGACAAAATTAAAGTGAAAACTGCTGATTCTGCAGATATCGACATTATCAAAACTCTTATTCAGAGCATATTAAAAGAGGGTATTAGAAGTGATGAGTTCTTCAAGAAGTAAGTTCAGTTTCTGAAAACTAATAGTGCAGTCCTATGAATGTCAACTTAGAAATAAGCCCATTGAATTAATGCTGTTGAATACCTTCGTAGAGTAAATACAAAGAGTCAGTGTTGTAATTTTTTTCCAGAACTGAATGCACTTGAGCTGCTAAATGACTATTAGAATATAATACTGGGTTTAATTAAAAAAACAGAATGCCTTCCTATCACAGAGATTTGGAGGCTGGTTTTTATTGTGTCAAACTGTGCAGCACTTCCATATTTGAAAGGGGAAAGGTGATTGGGCATTAACTAATCACTTTAAATGTGCCTTTTCCCAGGATTGCACACTGATGCACAGCCCTAGAATTTTTCAGGAGCCCCTTGACTAGGGGAGTTAGGAATCAGTGCTTTTTTCAAGATTACCTAGTGAGCTTTGTGGTCAAGCAACAGATTGAACCTGGGTATCAAGTTGGTTGTGGTGCACATGAGGGTAAATAAAACCTAATGGGTGTGCTGATTCTTTACTGATTGCAGAGATGGAGATGATCAGCTATTCATAATCATGAATAGCTTATCGATGTAACTATCATAGAAGGCAAAAAAGATGCAATACTGTAGTACAAAGCACGTGTCCTACTTTGGCTGCTGGAGCCCTGATGCTGAGCTCCAAAGAAGACTCCTTTAATGCACTTGGGCTTCTGCTACGTATCAGAGTATATGTTTCTACTTAAGATGACGAGTCCCTGAAGAGAATGGAGTCTATAGCAGAGTGGCTGTTTGTACAACAAGGCCTTCCGTAGATCAAATTTTGAATAATGTATAGTTACTTTCTCTAAAGAAGGATGGCAGGATTTTATTTGTTTCCTGCCTCTAAAGCAGTAAAAGCCAATGGAAAATTTGGTACCTGTATCCTATAGGCATGTAGCCTGCCCTTATATATTTGCATATATTCTCGTCTCAGGATGCTGTTATTGACTCAGCCTCATTTAGAAATTAGAATCCTGTGCAATTGCTACTGTATAGCTTGTCGTTAACATTGAATGTACCTTACGTTGAGAGTTCTTATCGGAGACGACATGAGTTTTGTTCATAAGTGCACAAACAAAAGGCAGAATTTTGGGTATAGCAATATTGCATGCTGTGTTTGAAGGCTAGAAGTTGAGTCCTGAAACATAATTTACTTCATAATTACACATATTGTTCATGAAAGACTAGCTAGGAAGTTTAACAGTAACACAGTGCACATATGTTTTGTAACATATCTTACTCAGTAGAGGATGTCTCTGGAGCAGAAACACCAATTTCTTGTGTTTTGGATACCTGCAGAAAGGAATGACAAAACTCAGAGATTTCCAGGCTATTTCGAGATGAGATGCAGGGATCCTACTCTGATTGATGAAACTTTGCGCAATCCTGCTGCAAAAAAAGCTAGATTAGATTTTCATGGCTGGTAGGATGCTTAGGAATATGAAAAAAGAGACAGGGGCCACAATGATATAAAAGAACAAACTCCCTGCTGTCGTCCACTTGAGCTGGGAGGGTCCTGCACACTCTGCGGCCCACTTGTAGGCTAACAATTACTGTACCAGTGTTTGATATTGAGGCTAGAAGTGTCGTGATAAACTCTTCTGCACTCAGGTGACTGGCATACCTGGACCAGAAACCTAGTTGAGAGAAGATTTTCTGTCATCTTTACAGTCCTAGTGGTTAGGGAAATACGGGTTGGACCTGTTTGTGACATCCAAAATCAGGTCAAATAGTTATTCTCTAGGTGCCGTGGGTTCCTCTAGGGTTTCTTCAAACAGGTTTTACCTATGGAACTCACCATCTGGTGTAGCTTTAGCTGGATTGTGTCGCATTTATTTCTTCCCCTAAGCAGACGAGGCAGAGGCTCTAAAACAAATAAACCATTCTGGTCCATTGCCATATTGCCTCTGCAGACTTGAACTCCTGCAAACTCAGGACTGAAGCTTCGTTCCACGTAGCATGGAAATGCAGCATTTCACTTTGAATGCTACATGGTGTTAACAATAGCAACTAGTTGCTATTTTGGCTCATTTACTTCTGCAAAGTCTTTTTTTGTATTGCCAGTAGAAAAATATGTATTTGATCAGTCTTCAAGCAGCTTTGGAGAACTGCATCATGGTTTTTTTTTCAGCCTGGAATGCATGGAAAGTGCCACATGCTAATGGGTTGACCTGATATATAAAAAAATTCATGATGCCCAGCAGCCATTTTATATAGGATGTAGCCTAAATGTCCACAGCCTAGATAGCTGTGTCACAGTCAATACAGTTGTTTTAATATGCTCAAATAAATTAATTATATTACAGCCTAACAACATCTGTTTGAAAAGTTATTTAAGCAGTAGAGCTGAAACCTGACGTGAAGTATATAGCAGTAGGGTCTAGGAAGCCTTCTAACAAGAAGTGGTAAATATTTGTTTTAAGAAGGTCACATTTGTGAAGATGTGCCAGGTAAACTGTTCCAGGAAGGCTGTCCTTTCATGCAAGCTGGTGGATTTAGGCAGTTTGTTTAAACTAATAATTATATATTTTTTCCTCTATTTACTAGTAAAAGAAATTTAAAGGCATTTAGGTTTCTGGCTATGTTGTTATAATTAAATGACACAATTTTTGTAATCGGGAGGTAGAGAAATGGGTGTATCTCTGTGTCTCCTCATTTCCCTGGCCGCTTTGCTTGTTTTGAAGGAAAGCCTTTGGTAACTCGTTTGCTAATCTGCTTTAACATCTCAGAACCTCGGAAGCCCCCAAAGCAACTGGAGGGAAGAAGAGCCCTATGTTATGTGGTCAGTACCTGAGCAAAAGTGAAGGCAAAGAGCTGAAGATCCTGGTCCAGCCAGAGACTCAGCACAGAGCTCGCTACCTCACCGAGGGCAGCCGAGGCTCAGTGAAAGACCGAACCCAGCAGGGATTCCCCACTGTGAAGGTATGCCAGGAGGGGAGTGCGGGGGCGAGAATGAGTGGGCTGCCCTGCCGAATCCCTCCCGCTGTTCTTATTGGATTCCCCTATAGCGGTGTGGTCAGATTTCTTAGTATTGATTTTATTACTCGAACTTATCCACACAGTTCCCCGTTTCTCAGGTTTGTGGTTATTTTGTTGCTCCAAGCAAAGAACTGGATGTTTCTTAGTTCAACACAGGGAACCCTTTCTCGCTGGATGGAGGATGTGTAAATATAGAGCAGGGCTATGCGTGGCTCTTCAGGTTTGAATGAATGCACAGAGCACCATCTGTGAGGCCTGTCCTGGATGAAGGAGGGTTACTGTCACTGATTTTTCACTTTAGCAGCCCTTTAACGCTCCTAGAAAATGTTACAAATAGAGTTGGGGAAAAAAATGTGATGTCCTCTGTTTTGTGGGGCCTAATTGGTCCCAGATATTTGTTGACCTTGCACAAATAACAGAGCAGAAAATGCAGTGGACCTCTGGAGGAATTGATTGGAAAGTAGACCCATACGTTGGTTGCCTAGCAGTTTTTTCTCTGAAAAATGAAGAAGTGTTTCATTTAATTGCACGCTAATGTTTATATCGCCAGGATATATGCACAGTTTCTAAAGAACGGTATTAAATTCTTGAGTGGTTTCTGACCATCATAAGCATTTCTCTGCAAGAGTGTATAACATATAAAAAGTCAGTCCTGTCCAAAACAGACTTTTGAAAATGCTTCTTTTTTCAGAAAGAACTTTTATATATGATCAAAATATAAATACAATAAAATCTACTTGAGGGCTTGATGGAATAGAACTAAAAGTACCAATACTTGTTTAGAATCCAAATAATTCATCTGTTTTGCTCCGTAGAGGAAGACCGTTAACCCCAGCTGGTGTTCAGTGTTCAAAAAACTGTTGTGCTGTATTTTTGGCAAATAAGTTGTGCTTCTTGTAGTTCATTGACTCTTGGTTTGTGATTCTAGCTGGAAGGTCACAACGATCCTGTGACATTACAGATATTCGTGGGTAATGACTCTGGCCGGGTGAAGCCTCATGGATTCTATCAGGCTTGCAGAGTTACAGGGCGAAATACCACACCCTGCAAAGAGGTGGACATAGAGGGGACGACTGTCATTGAAGTGGGTCTGGATCCAAGTAACAGCATGACCCTGGCGTAAGTCCCTTTTTTATTGATGCATTTGTTTATTTTGTTAGACTTATATCCTGCCTTTTCTTTGGGAACTCAGTTTTACTGTTAATAGTTTCTTAATTCAAGCAGACGAGTAAATCTGGACATTGGGATTATTTCTTATATGTTGTTCCATAGCAGAGGCTTCTGTGAGAGCCATATTACCATATCCTAGCGCTATGTCTAATAGGAGCCAAGCTTCTTCACGTCTCACTATATCATAGCTTAACATAACCTTATTTATTTGTTCGTTTGTAAGATTTATAAGGCCACCCAATACAAACAGCATGACTCTTGATGGCGTTAGACTCAGTTCTGGCTAAAACTACATTTATTTGTAATAAAGTGAAGTATGGGGGTTCTTTGGGAGGAGTTCTGTCCCCTCACAGGCTGCCATGTGATTCAGAAGGAAAACTTATGTGGTCTCTTGTCATCAACTTGAGATGTCTTCCTTGGTGTTCTGGTTATGATTACCAGCTTTCCATTTCTTTATCAGCAAAAGTGGACACTCTTCTGATTACTACACACACACACACACTTTGGGCAATCTATTTGTATTCTGACTGCTCTTAACAAAAAAAATGCCTTCCCAGAGAGCATGACCTCTTTTGGAAGTTGCTGGGAATCCAGTTTTGAACTTCAGAGTAGAGATCTGTCTCTCCTGTTGCCACCCAGGCCCTTAACTCAGGGCCTCTCTGAACATGTGATAGGCAAGCTTAGCTCTGGCTCTGAAAATAGCCCCTCTTTTAAAGCCCTGAATGATCAAGTCTTTCAGCAAGCTGCACATTCCTACTCATAGTGGCTGTCACCTAGAGCATTACAAGTGGGTGTTTGGAAGTTGTGGATGCTGGGGGGCTCAGCAAATTGTATCTGTTGGAGCCATTAATCTGGATTTAACTCTGCCCCCCCAAAACACATTTACATCTTTTAACTTCAAAATTGTTGGGGTCTTGTGATTGGGTGTACTGTTAGACTAGGAAGGAGCCTATGCCTAATTATTTTCTCAGTTGGGGAGTTTTGAACTTTATTCTCTAAAGAATAAAGACCTATTCCTTGCAAATTTTGTGGTATTTATTTATTTCAATATAGCAGTTTATCCTAATGACTCAAGGCAGACAGTCAAAGTATTACTGAATTCTACCTTTATGGTGGCTTCAAATAGCAGTTTTTGCAGCATTTGAAATAATGACCCCCAGGTCCATCTTCTTCATATGGTGAGATGTATAACACCTCCCCCCCCCCACTGTGCATATTGCAAATAGATGAAGTGTGTACATGCACGCACATAGTTGGGGCTCATCATTTATTTATTTATATATAAATAAAGCTGCCTGACTGTGCTGGGGACTATGTGGATCTCTGGAGGCAAGCTATTCTAGAGGGCAGATGCTGTGACAAAGAAGGCTCACTTCCTGCATCCCATCAGATTACACTATTTAATCTGTAGGACCTGAAGCATGCCAACTCTGTTTGATCAATCTACAGGAGACAGATGGTTCTTCAGATAGCCAAATCCTAGGCCACAAAGGGCTTTCTAGGTGATGACCAGCATGTTGCTTGTGTAGTAGAATTTTTTTAAGGGTACATTTGAACTGGAGGTCAGGACATATAACATTGAAAAACAAATTGGTTTATTATTTATCTATCTATCTATCTATCTATCTATCTATCTATCTATCTATCTATCTAATTTGTTCCCGCCCATCTCCCCCCAATGGGGGACTCTGGGCAGCTCACAACTC